ACACTAAGGAAAACAACACCGATTGGAAGATTCTTAGGAATTACGTCCAGGAAACTGAGTTTCTGAACATGGAAAAATAAGACATTCAGTTTCTTGAATTGGAGCGCACAACAGGCCCGATAGTGGCCTAGGTGTATTTCTTCGGATTTGATGTAGTATACATCCTCCTATCAACCTAACCTAACCTACACTTAGGAAAAATATTTCTTTATTTTTAAATAAAACGATTTTTAAATAATTTTATAACGAACGAAATTGTATATCGTACGTGGCAGATTTGTCTCCTATAGTATTATTTAGTAATAAAATATAAAATTTGGGTCCAATATGGGTCAATTCTCATGTAGAAATAATAGTATATTTAACACAATTATGAACTATAAATCACTGTTCGGGGTCCGGTTAAGCTAAGCGCTAAGCATCGATTTCAAATATTTTCAATAGTCTTCGTCTTGTACCAAATATTGCACAGTGGTTTAAAAACTTTTATTTTTGGAAATAATTCGGTATTTCTGGAACTATTAGATATATTGAATTGAAATTTCACATGAAAAAGGGCCGTATTTTGGAACACATTTGTTCCGCTTTAGGAATTTCGGTATTTGTAGATATGTATGTATTTAGAAAATGCCATGACTAGTAACGGTATTATTTTAGAAAAACTTGGATCTATACATTTACAAAATTTTGTTCCGATATCTTCATCCGTTCAAATTTTACATTAATTCAAATTTTAATTTAATTTTGAATAAGGAAATCTTCCCGTTAGCTTATCTTCCCCTATGCTTATATTAACAAGAAACAAATTATGTACACTATAAAATCTTAGCTTTAGTTATTGACTAGTTATAATAATGGGCCTTAAAAATTTTATAAAAGTCTATTTAAGTTTGTATAAAATATCCGAATTATAACTCGCACAAAAACCTGGCCACTTTAATAACGTAAAAATAACAGACAATGCAAACGTGACGTAAATAACACAACTAACGAAATCAACAAGTAGACAAACAAACATCGAGGGTCCAATGTCCGCACATTGATGATAAGAGGCAATGAATAGGTATACGAGTACAATTTTGACATTTCGTTAAGTCATTAGTTATTGTGCAGCTGTTGAGAGCAGAAGTGAAGTGGAACTAGTGACACACTAAATATTTTTATTAAATTTTTATTTTTTTAACTATAAATAATAAGAAATATTTTGATACATATTATTAATTTAAAATGGCATTTTTAAACAGAGTAAGTAAATAACACTGTTTATTGAGTCAAACTTATTCATTTTGAGCAATTTATTATTTTGGTTCTCTTTACAAGTTTTTTTTACATTGTTGCATATGTAAAAACAAAATAAGTTTAACAGTGGAAAGTGAGAGCTAGACGTATAATTTTGACGTCAACATAAAATAATACAAATAAATATATGTATGTTATCTTTATTGGACCGACACACACACATACTTTGGACTTGTTTTCAATGCAAATTTAGAAATAGACATTGGTTTTCTTTCATACACATACAAATTTGTATACATTTTTTGTAGATGTGTTTTTGTACTTTGCCCCCTTTTATTTTAAGATTTTTAATAATATTTATTGTTGTTTTGTTTTTAATTAAACTGAAAATGAAATTTGTTTACAAAGTCATTTCTTTGTCTTCTACTATTTTATTTCTTTTATATTATTATAATAATCTCTTTATTAATTTAAAATGGAATTTTTTATTTATTAGAAGTTTATTTAATTAGGAATTTAAATTGAGAAACAAATTAAAATTCTCAGTAAACCCCAGATTGAAGGGCTACTTTAAAGTAATCAGAGTCAAAAAAGAACCGGCTTTGCTGAAAAAAATTTATAACAGTTTTAAGGCGGGTTAATTACTACTTTTGGGGAAAAAATTAAATAAACATTGAAAACAATAGTAATATTAATAAAACAAATCAGAAAATTACTATTAATTTAAAAAATAAAGGTTTTCTTATTCCAAATTTGTAATTTATTGTTTTTGGCAGATTGTGTTTTGACACTTGCAACTTAATACTCAATTAAATCGAGATAATAAACAAAATTATCGATTACTGAGGGCGGGTTTCTTACTAATCAGTTTAACGTGGATTAACTTGCTGTTAGATTAAATTTGGAACAAATTTAGGAGGAATTTAATGGATGATTGAGTTTTTCAGTAATTAAAGAGCAGTTAAATTTGTTGGCTTTACCAAATTTTGTGTCAAAAATATAAACAATAGTCAGCTGTTTTTTGCAAATATTACTGATTACTGAAAAACACAAAATATAGGTTAAACTAGGTTTAAACAAAGAATGTAGATTAACTTGATCAGAAAAACCTACCCTGAAAAACACAAAATTTAGTTTAACTTAGGTTTAAACAGCGAATGTAGATTATTTTTATAAAAAAACGCCATTAAAGCCAGTTTTAAACTTGAAGATAAACGATTGAATTAATTTTCGAATGCCGTTCTAATAAGTTTTTCTTAAAATACAACAAAATTGAATCTAAAACTAAACAAAAGCAAAGGGTTTAAGTTAAGATTTAATTATTTAATGAGTATAGATGGGTTTCAATAATAGCTTTAATCGGACAGACGGAATATTTTAAGGCCAAACAAAGAAATTAAACTACCAATATTTTGCAGATTGTCTCTGTTTGTGTAGCTATTTATATACCTTTATATTTGCCAAGAATTTTTCCTCAGGAATATATTTGATTATAATTTAATGTATATTCGTTTAATTGTGACTTTTAACCACTCTAATCTGGTTTGTTTTTTTTTTTTAATTTTTAAGAGGTTTTATCATTTATAAGATCGTTTTTCTTGTACACACTTCTACACAATATTTAATATAAAATTTTGCATGTCATGTAGGAATAAAAACCAAAAATATAATCTCATAAATTTGATAAGAAATCTAGTTCACACACATATTTTAATTATAGATTAAAATGCCAACAATGCACTACACAATATACATACTTATTTAGTTTATACTCTAATCCTCTTAAATTAAAATCTATATAAATGCTCCAGTTGTCTGTTATAAACTCCATGTTAAGGCAATTTTATTAATTAAAAACTTTACATTTTTCAGATTGCTACACGTTCGGTACGCCAATTGGCAAATCGTTCTTATGTTTCTGTCTCACATGTCTCCGCCAATGGCCCCTCATTTGGTTTAACCGAAGAACAAAAACAAATGCAGGATATGGCCCGTAAATTTGCTCGTGAGGAAATTATTCCTGTAGCTGGACAATACGATAAGACTGGCGAGTATCCTTGGGATATTGTAAAGAAAGCTTGGTCTTTGGGTCTCATGAACAATCACATTCCTCAGGAGTATGGAGGCTTAGGTCTAGACAATTTTACAACTTGTTTAATTGCCGAAGAATTGGCTTACGGCTGTACTGGTATTATGACTGCTATGGAGGCTAGTTCATTGGGTGTAAGTTTAAATAAAGCGCTCGAGTTATATTCATTATTAAATTGTCGTGTTATATTTTTTTTAGCAAACTCCAATTATTCTTGCTGCTAATCACGAGCAAAAGAAAAAATATTTAGGTCGCTTGATTGAAGAACCACTTGTTGCTGCCTACTGTGTTACTGAACCTGGTGCTGGTTCTGATGTTGCCGGTGTTAAAACTCGTGCCGAGAAGAAAGGTGACGAATGGATTATTAACGGTCAAAAAATGTGGATCACCAATGGTGGTGTGGCCAATTGGTACTTCGTTTTGGCTCGCACAAACCCCGATCCCAAAGCTCCTGCCAGTAAAGCTTTCACCGGCTTCATTGTAGAACGTGATACTCCCGGTTTAACTCCCGGCCGCAAGGAAATTAACATGGGTCAACGCGCTTCCGATACACGTGGCATCACATTCGAAGATGTTCGCGTACCAAAAGAAAATGTACTAATTGGTGAAGGAGCTGGCTTCAAAATTGCTATGGGTACCTTCGACAAGACTCGCGCCCCTGTAGCTGCTGGTGCCGTTGGCTTAGCCCAACGTTGTCTTGACGAAGCATTGAAGTATTCTTTGGATCGTAAAACTTTCGGTACACCCATTGCCTACCACCAAGCTGTGCAATTTATGCTTGCCGATATGGCTATCGGTGTTGAAACTGGTCGTCTAGCTTATCGTCTTGCCGCTTGGGAAGTAGATCAAGGTCGCCGTAACAGTTATTACGCTTCAATTGCCAAATGTCATGCTGCCGATATGGCCAATAAAATTGCCTCTGATGCTGTACAAATTTTCGGTGGCAATGGCTTTAACACTGAATACCCTGTTGAGAAGTTAATGCGCGACGCCAAAATCTATCAAATTTACGAAGGCACTTCTCAAATTCAACGTCTGATCATTTCGAGAAATATGTTTGAAGCTGCCAAACAATCCTCCCAATAAATCCAATTCACTCCATTTAGTTAGTAACAGTCATTAGATTTTAAGTCAATTATTTGCATTCATTCACATAAATATGTACGTATTTTGTAAAATTTCTTTATTAAGTTAACCATGTTGTTATTGGTATTATTAAATCCTGTTACAAATATTCTGAATAAAAAATATGTATTTTTATAAAATCAATATTTATAGAATATTTCCATTACAATAACGATGTAGGTATATTTTTTATTTTTTGGGGGATCCTGTTTTCCACAACTAATCTCTCTTGTCCTAATGTACATTGTCAGATGAATTTTATCAAATAAAAATTATAACATTAAAGACCACACCTGGATTGATGGTGTATATATAGGATTTGGTAAGGACTAGTGAAATATATACTGGTTGCCACAAATTTCGGTAATTTTAAAACTTCTATCCTATTCTATGGGTATAATGTGAAATCCTTCATTCTACCTTATCTAATGTTAGTTTAGATGCCCTTATAAATTATATTACTTTAAAATAACAACATAATTGTTGATTACATTAATATATAATGCAATCAAAATATTTAATTAAAAAGTATTTTAACGTCATTCAATTTTTGATTTTAATAATAAATCGTAAACATTTTATTAAATATCACTTAAATCTTTATCATTTGTATACAAAATTAAATTATTATCAAACGACTTAATCTTACCTCTATCACCCCAGTGTACTTGCCATAATTGACATAGTTTATCATTAAGACATGACATTGACAGATCACAGCTTGATAATGTTATAGATATAAAATTTGGAATCTGTTTTGAATTCTCTAGACGTTCAACTTTATCAGCTTCGATTAAATTTGTGCAGTTTATTGCAACTAGTTTACGCAATTGAGGCAGCTTATCGAGAATAAAATGTAATGATGAACTAGATAAACGGACATTGTTCGATATATTAAAAAGTTCTAAATCATTGGCTCTACTAAGGCATTGGACAATTTTATAAATATTCACATCACTTAATTGACAACCGACTAAATCAATATTTTTGAATTTCTCACATGTACCGCTTTCAAAGAATTCTGCCAATTTGTCGGCCAACAGTGAATTTAATCGATCGTCATCTGATTGTTCCACTTTAATGTAACTTAAATTCAACGTTTGTAAACGACAAGAATTAAGTTTTGACAATAGCTTACGAATAGAGTCATCATTTAATTGATTGAAACTTATATCGAAATCTATCAACTGATAGAAAGCTAAATCGTAATCATATAATTGTGTTAAATTACACTGTGATATGTGTAGTTTTTGTAAAGATTTTCCGGATGCACTATTGCAAAAACGATCGAGCATACGTAGAGATGTGTTACCCAAGGGATTTTGACTTAATACCAATTCCTCTATTTCACAAAGTTTCTCAATGCCCGGACAAAAAAGCAATGATTCCAAGCCATCTGCAGTTATGAAATTTCCTTTTAAATTTAAAGCTTTCAGTTGCTTTAACGTAGGCAGGGACTTGGCCAAAAGACGACAACCTTCGTTTTGTATAAAATTATTGCTTAGATCTAAAATCCTTAGATTTGTTTGATGTAATATCGCTTTGAAAATAGGTTCGATTTGCAAAGGTGTTAACCAATAGTCAGTTAAATATATAGAATTGGAAATTTGGGCCCGCTGCAAAACATCTTGCACGTCACTGTTAACAGCTAAAAAGAAATTGTCAAGAAAAGTAGAATGTAATAATTACTTCTTGAGTTTCCTATATTTATTACCTTTATGTAATTGTATACACATCTCTTCATAGCGTTGTCCCAATGGTGAGATTTGCCATTCCAATACTGTTGCTAAAATCATGTTTTGTTCTAAAGCCACGTTAACAGGATCATTTTCCTCATAAGCAAAGCCATCTGCAGTTTTCAGACGTAATAAAGGCTTTAAGCCAACCAAACTGAAAATTAAAATAGAAACGAATATGTATACTATTTCAGTCTTGAAAGAAAAATTAAAGCACCCCTGCAAAATTTATTGGGGTACATAATCTATTTATGTAATCTCTCTTGTAACATTATTAGAATACATGATCCGTTTAGTAGTCCTATGTAATGCAGGCTTGGAATATGTTTATTATTTTTGAAAACAACATGGTCCATAGCGTGCATTACATAGGACTATGTTGCGGATCTTGTACTTCCATAATTTCAGCAAGGGACAAGTTTTGGGATTACTCCGAGGTAATACAATGATGGATTACGTGGTCCTCACCTGGGACATAACAATGTTATATATTTTTTCCATATATTTGGGTTAGTTTTGGATCAGTCCTTTGAGAAGTACTCTTTACACGCGTATGCGGAGTAGTCTCAACTTTTGTAGGGATATTAAATAGAATTTGGTGATTGTAAGTGATTTAAAAATTAGATGATGTTACTTAAACGTAACAAACGTCTAGGTAACAAACGTCTAGGTATATACTTTCGCAACTTACTTGTAATATCTTCTGGATGCTTCTTCCGCTAGCCAGCGTATATTTATGTCAGAAAGCTTTTTTCTATCTACGGGTACCAACAGAAGCTCCTCTTCTACTTTCACCTTAAATGAAACTGTAGTCGGAAGTGCAAGCGGTGTGGTTTGTACTTTAATCGGTGAGGATTTAGAAGGTGAAATTAAAAGTTGTATTGAAGTTGTTGTGGAGTCAGGTTCTGTTGTACGCACATTGACAGCCGTCAGTGCATCATTTGAATCATCACTAGTAATCAATGGACTTTCACTTCGAAAACGACAAAAACCACTTTCCAGAAGGGATGACTGGTGTTTTGACTTTTGTCGTTGTGAACTTGTTGCAATACTTGCATTGCTGCTAATACTTGACGATCGCGATAGACTAAGCTTTTTGGCTTGTTTCTGTCGTTGTTGTGATGTTGTTCCAGTTGCTGCATCTAATAGCACTTGAAAAGCATCAGTTTCAGGTGTCAAAGAATCTCTGAGCCATGTGGTATTGCCCGAGTCTATGGAATGTTGTGTAAGATCTTTAGCCGGCGACTTGTAATGTGTCTTGGAAACGGAAGACATGGGACGAGGATTTTTTGTTGGAGTTGTTTGGTATCGTCGTTTTTTTCTTTCTGGTCCTAAATCATCGATCAGCCAAGAGTCTTCGTCAATTTCTTCTGCATCAAGATAGGCCGAACGTTTATTTTTTCCACTTTCGCTAGTGGTATAAGAATCACTATCGCTATCCATTATTGCATTACGATGATGGGGATGTTTCAATTGCTCAATGGCATTTTTATACTCAACACTGGCACTCGCCGGAGAACGAGTTTTAGTTTTATCTTTTGAACGATTTAATCGAGAAGTAGATGGTCGTATATTTTCAGCTTCATCCATTTCTTCTATCTCACTTTCCAGTTCATCAATTAGAGAGCTGGTTTCTTTAGAATGTGCCTGTGGTTTTCTTTTGGTTTCCATATTTGCATTTGTCAAGGGTTTACTAGTTTGAGACTGGCATATTCCCACTTTTGAAAGCGTTTTTATTAGACGAGCTCTTATTTGTTCATATTCGACTTGTTCACCTTCAGTCAATGTCGCAGTACTACGCCATTTATCCAAACCACTTAAACAGGTCTCGCCATAATCTGTCTTCACAGTGGCATCTGCACCACGTTCCAACAAAAGTTCAACTACATCAAGGTAACCATTTGAACATGCATCGTAAAGCGGCGTTATGCCATCGCAACTCGTACCTCCTTTATCGTTAATGGCAACAGCAGCTCCTCGATCTAACAATAATTGAACAATATCGCGAAATCCATGATTGCTGGCTTCGTGTAGCGGCAACCATCCCGCATGATCTCGAACATTAACAACGTGACCCTGGTCAATTAGCCTTCTAACTAATTCGATGTTTCCAGCAATGCATGCCTGATGCAATTGTGTTTCACCCTTGTTGTTACGTTTAATGGTCAATGAACGTGTGCCTCGGGTAGCACGATGTGGTCTTGGTTTTTCAGTTTCATCCAAATCACTTGTATCCGAATCAGTAAGATCATCTAAACATATATCTTCACCTAAATCTGGTGTATTATTTTCATTCATTGCCGTTCCATCTGATTCAGTATCACTATCATCGTCTAGGGAATTTAAATCGATCCCTTAAAAGAAACAAACATTAAATAAGTACATATACTACATAATTTAGGGATGTAGTCCTTCGACAAAACGTTCATTGCATTTAATTATGAGACTGCGTACGATATCCTTGTTGGTCTTACCTTTACTTGTTGCTTCCTGTGCCATTTCCTCCGCCAAAACATTCATATTATGCTTAATTTGCAATTTTCTCAATCTTGCGTACGCAATTTTCTCTAGTTTTGTCCTAACATCTCCAGCTTTAGAAGCATGATCTTTAGCTTTTTGATAGATATCTTGAATTGTCCAAAAAGATTGCATTTGCAGTTCACAAATTTCAGCAATACTGCATAATGTTGAAAATGCCTCGCTGTGGACATCTTTATTTAGTTCGTATTCTTTCCAGAGAAACTCAAGTGCGTGATCGTATTCTTTGTTGTCCTTATAAGTTTGATAGAGACTCACATAAATCGGTATCAGGGATTTTGGTGGTTCCTTATTCAATTGGGCACATTCCAACATTTTCCGGTAATATTCTAGAGCTTTCGTGTAGTTGCCCAAATGGCAACAACCATCACCTAATTTTTCATAAAGCGCTTTACGTTTAGAATAATCTATTGAACTTGTTGTAATAAGTTCATCTAGAATTTGGCAAATTTTTACGACTAAACAATTAAATAGGAAAATGTAGATATTAGTTAGTACATATTTTAAGATAATATTCAACTTATTAATAAATACCAATTCTTAAAGTCTTTTCAATCGTTGTCCGATCATTTTCATCAGGTGTATTTTTCTTGTAAGCCTTTGTCAAAATCTGTTTGGCGCTAGCAAAGTCTCCAGCTTTAACGAGAATTTCCGATTTTATAATAAGGGTTTCGCAGATTTTTTTTACTTTCTGACTGAAGCGTTTGGCAACATCCAATGCCATGTTGCAATAACGTAAAGCCAAGGTAGCATCGTTCCTTTTGCTGTGGTACATTAAACTCATAGAAACATAACACATATGGGTCAGCTCAAATATATCGTGGGATTTGCTTATTTTTATAGCTTTTTCCATATAAGAAATTGCTTCATCAAACTCTTCCATGTGCTCTTTAACTACGCCAATATTAAGATAACAACGCGCTTGCATGTCGAGCTGTTCCAATTTTGAAATTTGACCTGTTAATCTAAAAATTTAATTATGTGTCGTAAACACTTTTTAATAAGTTTTCATATTTAAGAAAACCAAAACAACATACTCTTTTGTAAGCAAAAGACTTTTGAGAAATGCCTTTTCAGCATGTTTCAATTGTGTCATGGCACTAGAGGCAGAAGTATCAGCAAGAGCTTGTCCATGTAATAGATGGGCCCTGCCCAATGTTGTATATGCCCGCTGTTCTTCCACTTTATTTTGTAGTTTCTTAGCAATTTCTTGAAAAAAGGACTACTACATCAAATAAAATTATAAATGCATTTAACTTAAAACTTACTTAAATAATCATTAATATGTTCTTTGCCGTTATCGAATTCGCATAGCAACATGTACATTTCACCCACCATTCGGTGGGCTTTGGCCGTTTCCAGTTTCTTGCCCATTCTTGCATAAATGTTCGCCTCTTCTTGGTATTCCTTGACAGCATTTTGATAACGCCCTTGCTGATTATAAAAATCGCCCAAATTATTACAAGCTATGGCCAACTGTTCTCGGTTTCCTTCATTAAATGCCTTTTCTTTTCGTTTTAAATACTCTAAAATAAATAAATTATTAAAATGTTTTAATTTTACTAAAAAAATACTTACTCCTTTCTTCCATTGCAATATTATTATTAATTAACAAAATCTACGTACATATAAAAAAACAAATCTCGAGCAAATAAATTCGAATTGTTGTGTTTTGCGAAATAATGATCAAAATAATAACACAGAAAACGCGGCAGAATTTGTTCAAAAACACAGAGGCGAATTCACATAAGGTGGTAACCAAGGTGAATTCACATAATGTGGTGGCAGTTCGGCAACAGCAAAATTTTTCATGTATGTAATTTGTTTTTGCATTTATGAAAAAATTATATTGCAAATGAAAGAATCTTAGTTGAAATGGAAAATTTTACTCTGACGGAGTAATTTTTAAGATTTCCACGTTGAAGTCAGCTGCCACCGAACGGGTACCTCATTTGGGTTTCTTATAAAAAGCGTTCCGGAACAGAATTTTTTAGTTAATCACGCTATCTACACAGTATTAATAAAATCATTTTTTTAAAAATTTAATAGATCTCAAAATTTGACCATAACGTAGAAGACTGCTGACTCCGTCCGGGTAAATACCTCATGTGGGTTTTGTTATATAAAGTGTTCCGGAACAGAATTTTATTAGTTAATCACGTTATCTATAAAGTGTAAATATAAACTATAAAACAATATTGTTTAATTTCTAAGAAAAATATTTGTTTACAAAATGCTTGGTGTTTTCAGATTTTTTACATAAATAATTCTAAATACTAACGAAGATTTCTTTCCGTTAGTATTTTGACTATAAGGTGAAGTCATTTCTTTTTGCGGCGAATTCATGAATTTTCTTATAAATGTAGTTTGACAGAGAGAATTTTTTATATGAAGTTTGACAGCTTCGGGCATGGACAAAAAACAATCAGCTGTTGCAATGACTTCACCTTATTAGTTTCGCCATGGTCTATTCGCCTTGATGCACCCTGAAGACCACCTTATATGAATTCGCCTTGCACAGAGCTGTTTAACAACTAACGTGGCCAGACTGTTTGTGAATAAAAGCGGGATCCGAATGAAATATTAAAAAAACGGGATTTTGTAAATTGTTATACATACATATTCGGCATTCAATAAAACTTAATATAAAGACAAGTAAAGTGTAAGTGTGCTTCGCTACCCTCATCGTAATGAAATAAAATAAAAATTATTGTAAATTTTCAGTCAGTCCAATATACATTTAGGTATATTTGCAATATCAAAAAGTCCCCTTTCATAGATTTTCACACAGGTTCTATATATATAAAATTCTAACATTACTGACTCACTGACTGACTGATTCATTATCGCACAGCCTAAACGGTTGTATTTCATAAATTTTCAATCAATTATGATTGATTCTACTCTCGATATTACAGGAAATTAAAAAAGTATCAGTTGAAGAACGAAAATGTAAGAGAAAGTCCCTTTTTATAGATTTTAGTTTAATAATAATGGAGCATGTTCAGGAAGCTGTGTGTCCAGTTTTATGTTTTTAGGTTCAATAACATAGAAAATTCAAAAAGTAATACTAAAAAACAAAAAGTACCAGAAAGGCTCTTTTTTTAAATGTTTATATATTCAATATTTTACAAATATCAAAAAGTATCAGTTGAAGTACGAAAACATACCAAAATACATCTTTTATTTATTTTTGTGTTTCTAACAAAGAATATAAAGAAATTGGGGCTTGTCAGTTGGTACGTAAAGGAGTTGTCATTCGGTACCTAACTCTAAGTATGTGTTGGTAGAATTTTTGTGTTAGTATTGGAGCTCCAACCACTTTCACCACACTTTCCAAACATACATACTTGCATATAATCGTACATAAATATTTTAGGAAAAATAAATAACATTTAAATTTCTACATTCGCAGATTTTTTAATTTATTTTGCCCACATCTAATCAGTAAACATTTAATAAATATATTTTTCGGACTTAAAATCTCTTTTTTTTTGCAAAAAAATAAGTTTATTTTAAATAATTTTTTCATTTTCAATACCAAAATATACAACTTTGTTTTGTCAATTTTAATTTCAACACATAAAAATTAATTGTCAAAAAAATTAAAAAAATATTTTTTTAGTTTGTGAAAAATAAAAATATTTGGGATTGTTAAATGCGATAAAATTGTGTAAAAAATTAATAAATAGTTATGTGTTTGTGAAAAAACGTCGTTCAAGTACTAATATCCCGGTATTTTCGCGAAAAAGTTTTGAAGTATTGTGAGAGAATTGAGTTCTCACAAGTGTGTTGAATTTACACAGAACTCGTCTGTGAAGAGAAGGAAATGTTATTGTTGTAAAACAATGTCATAGTCCAATTTCTTATTATTCTTTGGTTTCTAAGTTCGATAGCAAAGAATATAAAGAAATTGGGGCTTGTCAGTTGGTACGTAAAGGAGTTGTCATTCGGTACCTAACTCTAAGTATGTATTGGTAGAATTTTTGTATTAGTATTGGAGCTCCAATCACTTTCACCACACTTTCCAAACATACATACTTGCATAAAATCGTACATAAAAATTTTAGGAAAAATAAATAACATTTAAATTTCTACATTCGCAGATTTTTTAATTTATTTTGCCAACATCTAATCAGTAAACATTTAATAAATATATTTTTCGGACTTAAAATCTCTTTTTTTGCAAAAAAATAAGTTTATTTTAAATAATTTTTTCATTTTCAATACCAAAATATACAACTTTGTTTTGTCAATTTTAATTTCAACACACAAAAATTAATTGTCAAAAAAATTAAAAAAAATATTTTTTTAGTTTGTGAAAAATAAAAATATTTCGGATTGTTAAATGCGATAAAATTGTGTAAAAAATTAAAAAATAGTTATGTGTTTGTGAAAAAACGTCGTTCAAGTCCTATTATCCCGGTATTTTCGCGAAAAAGTTTTGAAGTATTGTGAGAGAATTGAGTTCTCACAAGTGTGTTGAATTTACACAGAACTCGTCTGTGAAGAGAAGGAAATGTTATTGTTGTAAAACAATGTCATAGTCCAACTTCTTATTATTCTTTGTTCGATAGTTTCAATGTTTCTAGCAAAGAATATAAAGAAATTGGGGCTTGTCAGTTGGTACGTAAAGGAGTTGTCATTCGGTACCTAACTCTAAGTATGTATTGGTAGAATTTTTGTATTAGTATTGGAGCTCCAACCACTTTCACCACACTTTTCAAACATACATACTTGCATAAAATCGTACATAAAAATTTTAGGAAAAATAAATAACATTTAAATTTCTACATTAGCAGATTTTTAAATTTATTTTGCCCACATCTAATCATTAAACATTTAATAAATATATTTTTCGGGCTTAAAATCTCTTTTTTTGCAAAAAAAATAAGTTTATTTTAAATATTTTTTTCATTTTCAATACCAAAATATACAACTTTGTTTTGTCAATTTTAATTTCAACACACAAAAATTAATTGTCAAAAAAATTAAAAAAATATTTTTTTAGTTTGTGAAAAATAAAAATATTTCAGATTGTTAAATGCGATAAAATTGTGTAAAAAATTAAAAAATAGTTATGTGTTTGTGAAAAAACGTCGTTCAAGTCCTATTATCCCGGTATTTTCGCGAAAAAGTTTTGAAGTATTGTGAGAGAATTGAGTTCTCACAAGTGTGTTGAATTTACACAGAACTCGTCTGTGAAGAGAAGGAAATGTTATTGTTGTAAAACAATGTCATAGTCCAACTTCTTATTATTCTTTGGTTTCTAGATTCAATATTATAGAAAACTCAAAAAGTACCAGTTAAAGAACGAAAGAGTACCAAAAAGTCCCCTTTTAGGGATTCTCATATACTCCGGTCTATACATGCTTAATTTCATGTTTCTAGGTACAATATTATAGAAAATTCAAAAAGTACCTTTTGAAGAACGAATAAGTACCAAAAAGTCCACTTTTTTAGATTCTCATTTACTCTGGCCGCTACATTCTTAATTTCATGTTTCTAGGTTCAATATTGTAGATAATTCAGAAAGTACCTTTTGAAGAATGAAAAAGTACCAAAAAGTCCTCTTTTATTGGTTCTCACTATTGTAGAAAAGCAATCATAGACTTATGTTTTTAGTATTTGAAATATTAATTGAATATTTCTTAACTCTCTTGTAAACTTTTCATAGACAAACTTGTCTTAAATTTTCTTTTTAAATTATTATAAATAAATTATTTTTATTTAACCAACATATCAAAACCAACATTATTTATAATAGTTATGGGCGATCAAAAAGAAAGTGTTGGTATACCGCAATTTAACGGTCGCGGTTACGATGAGTGGCAATTTCGCGTAAAAATTCATTTCGAAAATTTGAATTTGTTGGAGGTTTTAACGGGCCTACCACCAACAGACGCAACTGCCTTGTTGGAATTTAAGAAGAATGATAGAAAAGCAAGAGACAAGCTGGTATCATTCGTAAGTAATGATTGTTTGGGATACATTCGTGAAAAGCAAACTGCCAAAGAAATGTGGGAAAGTCTCCAGAATGTATTCGCAAAGAAATCTATCGTAAATCAAGTCTTGGTAAGGAAACAGATTATAAATCTGCAAATGAAAGAGGGGCAAATGATGATGGAACATCTAGTGAAATTTGAAAATTTGGTAAGGAATCTGAAGATGGCTGGTGCTAACATCGAAGAAAGTGATGTCCTTACGCAACTATTTATGACATTGCCAGAGAAATACGATCCTCTAATAACAGCATTGCAAAATATAGAAGAATCCAAATTAAATTACAATCTGGTTAAAGAACGGTTACTTCTTGAAGAAACCAAGATGACAAATCGTGTTGAAGAAGAAGATTGTTCAACAAAAACAGCATTTGCAGGAAAGAAGAATTTCAAGAAAAAATTTCAAGGTCGTTGCTTCAAATGTAATAAAATTGGACATAAAGCCAATGTATGCCGCCAGGGTGAAGCTTGCAGCGCCAAAGGTGTTAAAAATTCGAAGTCGGTTTGTTTTATGGCCGATAAATCAAGTGAGTCAAAAAACAGTAATTCTTTTTTGAAATTTAAACTTGATTCTGGGGCAAGTGACCATTTAGTAAACGAGAAATGGTACTTCGATTCGATCAAAAAGCTTCCAAACCCAATCGAAATTAGAGTTGCAAAAGATGATCAGTCCCTTTATGCAAATAAATTTGGTATAATCAACGGAAAAAGCAACAAAGGTGTTGATATAACATTGAAAAATGTTTTATACGTTCCTGAGCTAAGAGATAATCTGCTCTCAGTGAAGAAAATGACTGCTGCTGGAATTGAAGTAAGATTCTGCAAAGACAAAGCATTAATTTCAAATGGAAATGAAATAATAGCAACAGGTTACCTTCGAGGAAACTTATATGAGGTAAGCCTTAGTATTCAGCAGTGTGTAGCTAACTTAACAACCAGTGAGAAGAATCAACTGTGGCACAAACGTTATGGTCACATTGGTCAATCATCGTTTCAAGATCTGGTGAGTAAGAATATGGTTTCTGGAATTGATGTCAAACCAGAAAAGTTCGATTTCTGTGACATTTGTGTGGAAGGGAAACATTGTCGTGATCCTTTCATCAAAGCCCATACAAAAGCTACCCGCCCTCTTGAGAGAATTCACTCTGATGTTTGTGGACCTATAGAACCTGCAGCATGGGATGGTTCAAGGTACTTTGTGTCATTCATTGATGACTTTACTCACTTTTCAGTAATATACACAATAAAGAAGAAGTCTGATGTGTTCAACTGTTTCAAAGAGTACGAAGCTATGGTGACTGCTAAATTTGGAACGTCAATTTCTAAACTCACTATTGATCAAGGCCGGGAATACGGATCAAAAGAACAAAAGAATTGGTACAAAACTAAAGGAATACAAGTAGAAGAAACCATAGCCTATTCCCCTCAACAAAATGGAGTGGCCGAACGATACAACAGAACCCTAGTGGAAAAGGTGAGGACAATGTTACTCCAATCAAAAATGCCTAAGTATATGTGGAATGAAGCCGCTTTGACTGGGATGTATCTTATAAACCGAAGTCCAACAAAAGCTCTTTCGGAAGATGTCACACCTGCTCAGTTGTGGTATGGGTATAAGCCGAACATCAGTTCACTTAAAATCTTTGGATGTAAGGCTTATGCTTGGGTGCCGAAACAAAAACGTCGCAAACTTGATGCTAAGAGTCAAAAACTTGTCATGATCGGATATGTCCCAAATGGTTACAAGTTATGGGACATGTATTCAAGGAAGATAATAACTTCAAGAGATGTAAAATTTGATGAAAACAACTTTCCATATGCAGAAGAACAAGATGAACAACCTAAATTAGTAATTAGAAGTAACATGCAAGAAGGGGATGAGGATGATGTTATGCCTGTTACATCAAATCAAGATGCTATTGTGCCTGTTGATGACGAGGAATGTATAGTTGATCCAATGAGTGAAAGTAGGCCTGAAGAACTAATAACTTCCGATGAAGATATTAACAATGATGAGGACTATGGCGATAATGATAACAATGATGTCATTTCAATAGAAGAAGATGCTAATGAAAACGAAACCCCTAGAAGAAGTGAAAGAGTGCGAAAAGTACCAAGCAAATTTCTTGGATTTAGTTTCGGTTATTCCATTTATACAGAAGGTGTTTATTTCATGTCTGTCCCTGAACAATTTTCTGAGATCTCTTGTCGTAGTGATGCCAATGAATGGTATAAAGCTGTAAATGAAGAATTGAAATCAATGGAAGCAAATGAAGTGTGGAAAATTGTCAAACGCCCTAGCAGCACGAAATTACTAAAATCAAAGTGGGTCTTTAAAATTAAAACAGATCAAGATGGGAATCCGACACGCTATAAAGCCCGGCTTGTTGTCAAAGGGTATCTTCAGAAGAAAGGAGTTAATTATAATGAAACATATGCTCCTGTTGCTAAGCTGACTACGGTTCGTGTTCTCTTGGCTATAGCTGTAAAGAAAAATCTAACTCTATATCAAGCTGATGTGAAAACTGCCTTTTTAAATGGGAAGCTTAAAGAGGAAATCTACATGGAAGTGCCAGAAGGGGTTGTAACAGAAAATGGCATGGTTTGTCGTCTTCAAAAATCTTTATATGGACTGAAGCAAGCTCCCAAATGTTGGAACGATACATTAAATCAACATCTTATTACAATGGGATTCACTAGATCAAAACATGATTACTGCTTATATACAAAGTTCGAAAATTCCAACGTTTTGTATATAATCATGTACGTAGATGATTTGCTAATTGCCGGAAGTAGTTCAAATCTAATAGAATGTTTCAAAAATCAATTGTGCAGAAGATTTCAATTGTCTGATTGCGGAAAACTTAAGCATTTCTTGGGGATGAAATTTGAAAACGATGGAGAAAACATGATAATATCTCAAGAAGCAAGTATCAATAAAGTTTTGGAAAAATTCTCAATGATGGATTGTAATCCAGTGAAGACGCCGATGGATAAAGGGTTAAAATTATATTTAAACAAAAATCAAAATAAAATCGATAAACCCTATAAAGAATTGCTTGGAAGTTTGATGTACATTATGCTGTGTGTCAGACCAGATATTTGCTTTCATGTCAGTTACCTAGGTCGTTTTCAACAACATCCGTCTGATGATCATTGGCAAGCACTTAAAAGAATTTTAAGATATCTGAAAGGTACCGTAAAGAAGAAACTTATATATAGTCCAAATGATTCAAACCCTCTAGTGGGCTACGCAGATGCTGACTGGGCCAGTGATGAAGTAGACAGAAAATCTGTTAGTGGATATGTGTTTAAGGTGTATGGCTGCACAGTAACCTGGGCAAGTAGAAAACAACAAACGGTTTCAACATCTTCAAATGAAGCAGAATACGTAGCATTAAGTGCTGCTGTATCAGAGGCCATTTGGTTACGCGGTATACTTCAGGATTTAAAAATAATTAAAAATGATGCTGTACCAATTTATGAAGATAACAATGGATGTATATGTATGGCGTCCAATGTTGAGAGCAAGAGATCTAAACACATAGATATCAAGCATCACTTTATCAGAGACTATATTAAAAAAGGAGTAATTAAAGTGGAACCTATTGGAACTGCAAATCAACTGGCTGACATGTTTACAAAAACTTTAGATAATTGTAGATTTGTTAAACTTTGTAATTGTTTAGGATTGCATGATTGAGAAGGGGTATTGTAGAAAAGCAATCATAGACTTATGTTTTTAGTATTTGAAATATTAATTGAATATTTCTTAACTCTCTTGTAAACTTTTCATAGACAAACTTGTCTTAAATTTTCTTTTTAAATTATTATAAATAAATTATTTTTATTTAACCAACATATCAAAACCAACATTATTTATAATACTCACTTACTCGAGGCACTACATGTTTAATTTCACGTTTCTAGGTTTAATATTATGGAAAATTCAAAAATTACCCTTTAAAGAACGAAAAAGTACCAAAAAGTCCCCTTTTATTGGTTCTAATTAACTCCGGACTCCACATGCTTAATATCATGTTTTTAGGATCATATTATAAAAAACACAAAAAGTAGCAGTTAAAAAAGAAAAAGTACCAAAAAATAATCCTTTGTACCGGAGTTCCAAGTAACACTCCACTGGTATATTTAGTGTTACTAAATCTAACAATTTCACCAAATATATTTAAAATTGTGAGTTTGAATAAAATCAAATTTCCCGTTTTCCCCCTTTTGGTACATTTTTCTCCCTATTTAAGTAATAAACATTTTATTACAAAAAGTTGCAATATCGTAGTGGGAGCCCATCATTAGGTTAGGTTGATAAGAGGATGTACAGTACGTCGAAGAAATACACCTAGGCCACTGAGTATATTATTTTTCAGTGTTCAGAAACACAGTTAAATGGACGTAATTCCTAAGAATTTTCTAATCAGTGTTAGTCAGGAATGTTATTTCCGGAATAACATCACTTCCAAGATACTTGGATCTACGAAAGCTTGACAGTGGCAAATAAAGTGCTCCAGAATTTCACTGTCCTCTCCACATGCTATACATTCGTCTGAATCCGCACGTCCAATTCTGCATAGATGTGCTCGTAATCCTGTGTGTCCACTCAGAATACGTACCATCATACTAACTTCAGACTTGCTCATTTTGAGGAGATTTCTTATGGGATTCTCTCACCCATTTTATACTGGTATTTGCTCTAATGTTCCGCTTGACCAAGACATTCTACTTATTCATTCTATCGTTTCAAAGTTTCCGACATATTCTGTGTCTGGCATGCGATCAGGCACGTCCGATGATTGTGTATAACCTTCCAATGTGTCCAATATACATTGATGACGTGTGCTATAACAGCTTTTGGCCAGTTCGCCTAAAGTAAAGAGACGTTCGGCTGTAAGCGCCGCCTCATATCTTAAATATGTTTCAATAGGTGGAATATCTAGCAACGTTTCCAGAGCTTTGGTTGAAGTAGTACACATAGCACCACTTATACCCAAGCAGCATGTACACTGAACTCCCTGTAGTAGTTTGATATTACACTTTTATCCAAAGCAGTCCACCAGTGCCCCGTTTCTGTAATTCTCGCATCGTGAAAATCTGCCGAAAAATGCATGATCATCTTGTGTAAAACAGGATAAATACAAGAAATTTAAATAGTTCTTATTAAATTTTAATGAGTACAGTTCAAAAATAATCTGAGTCACACTGTTAAAAACTGGAAGACTATTATATTTTAAGTTTTTTCTCGATTTGAGAAAATTACAGAAACGAGCTACTGGGACGATCATCATAAAACTTGGTGAAAGGATTTGTTTTTAATAATTAAGATCTAATCAAATTTTTTAAAATATATATATATTTTTTTTTAATTTTTAAATTCTTTTTCATCTCAGCCTAATTTCTTGCACAACTTATGTGCTTGCTCCATTTTAATATAAATTATATACAAAATCTTAATTTTTTATCTCTCGGATTCCGTTTTTATTTAAAATCTTTGAAAATTTTAAAATTTAACTATTTGAGAACTTAGCCGGCTTACAGTCGATTTTAAGCCGCCGCCAATATTTTTAGTGTCAGCCGCCGCCGCCGTTAATATTTATCAGCGTAGGTCTCTGTCATCGGTTCAGAAGCATTTTCAGGAGTTCACGCAATTTTTTTTTCCAAAAGATTCGAATTAAAAATAATTGGTAAATATATAATTATTTTGCAACAATTCATAACATACTAGAAAAACAGAAAATTATATTCTCTACAAAATATTTATAAATTAATTTTGGGGAGATTTGCTATAAAAATTTAGTGAAGAAATATCTAAATGACATCTAGAAAAAAAAAAAACAGATTGAAAAACCAATAAAAATGATGGCGGTGCGGTGGTGGAATCAAATCGCACACACAGTGAAAAATATACATAAAAAAGTGCATTGCAATTGTTAATGATGTGATAAATATATGTACGAAATTTTTCTTTTTATTTTCAGGTAAGAAAAGAGAAAATAATTTATATGATTTATTGATCGAGTCAATAAATAAAATCGGAGACTACTTGACGCAAATTGCTAATTTGACCGGCGTTTCCGGCAAGAATATAGAAAAAGTACGTTCTTGAACAGAAATATTTCGTGTGTGTATAACAGAGTTTAAAGCAGTCGCTGCAGTAGTGGTGGTCGTTACGTCGATACCGTTGCCTTCGTTGCGTCGAGGACTTTGTAATTCGAATACAAATATAAAAGAGAAAAGTAAAATTTTATTCTTGTAAAATATTTATTGAATTGTTTTGTGATTGTTCTTGTTGTTAAGTTCCTACATCATCATCATCTATATATTGTATATTTTTGTGTCTGTGTGTCTGTAGATAATCATGGCCAATAATTACACCGGGTTTAGTTACGGCGGTACCCAGTACAATTCGACGGGTACACCGGGCGCATATAGTTCCAATTCAGTTTCGTATCCGGCTGTAACCAACGCCACTTATGCCAACGCCGCCGCCTATCAGTCGGCTGTAGCTGCTGGCAGCGGTAGTTACGCAGCTGGAGGTGCAGCCGGAGCTGCTGCTGCAAGTTATGCAGGATATAGTGGCAGTGACTATAGTCGTACGCCATTGCAGGCATATGACTCGTCTAAAACATTTTATCAGCAGGCGGCCTCCAACTACAACACCGCTGTTGCGCCTACGGTCTCCAAGACTCACTACTCGGCTCCGCCGGTTAAAAATGTGACCCCAATTGGTACAAAACCTACGGTTGGCAAAGATAAAAGTGGCGCTGGGGGTCCTGGGAAATTGCCTGGAACCGCTGTGACTACAGCACCTGGATCCTATTCCAATTATGATGCTGCACTCTACAGTGCTGCTTCTATGTATGTGGCTCAGCAACAACAACCTGGTACTGGTAATCCAGCCAAGTCTAATGGTTCCGCAGGTGCTTCTGGAAACTGGCCGCCATATCGCAAAGGTGGTCCCGGTGGTCCTGGAAACAAAGTATCACGGCCAAAACAAGCTCCCAGGCCGCAACAACTGCACTATTGCGAGGTTTGTAAAATATCTTGCGCTGGACCGCAAACCTATCGTGAACATTTGGAAGGTCAGAAACATAAGAAACGTGAGGCATCACTTAAAATGCAGGCTAGTGCACAAACTACCTCGCAGAATCGAGGTAATAATTATCATTGCGAACTTTGCGATGTTACTTGTACCGGCACAGATGCCTACGCCGCTCACGTCCGTGGAGCCAAGCATCAAAAGGTAGTGAAATTGCACCAAAAATTGGGAAAGCCCATTCCATCGGAGGAACCAAAGAAGTTGTCTAAAATAAACTTTGTTCCCGCTGGCGGTTCTGCTGCCGGCACAACACCTAAGACAGGTGGTGATGAAGAAGAAAATCCAACTGAAAATGATAAAATGGATGGTAAATATTTTGTTTAATAGAATGTTTATTTTATTTAAGATTTTTACTTTTTTAGATAATGCGGATGATGCCAGTAATCATGAAAATACCGACAACATTAAACCCGTGGGCGGAGAATTCATCGAAGAAGTTAAAGATGAAGAGGGTAAAATTCTTAGCTTCAACTGCAAGTTGTGCGATTGCAAATTCAACGATCCAAATGCTAAGGAAATGCACATGAAGGGACGACGTCATCGTTTGCAATACAAACGTAAAGTTCAGCCAGATCTAGTGGTGGACTTCAAGCCAACACCACGGCAACGTCGTTTAGCTGAAGCTAGGGCTCAACGAGCTCTGATGAATTCTCATCGAGGTCAGAATTCAAACTTTGGCGATAAGCAGGCATATTGGGGTGATGAACAACGTCGACGTGCACAGTTCGATGACGAGTATGATTATAATAACTGGCTAGCACGCAGTTTTGGAGGTGAGTTGAAAAATTTTAGAAAAATATGTCAATATAATGATCAACTATAACTTTTATATAAATAATTTCTGACATTATTAAATATCAGATTTTATTTTTTAAATCAGTAGATCTGCTTTAAAGTTATTTAAAAAAATAGTATAATGTCCTAATTTTTGGCGGTCTTGTAGTAAATGAGCGATATGTACATCTAAGTATATATTTAGGAATGAAATAATCTCTAGATTAAGATTTTTAATAAATGTTCGAAATTCCGAATTTATAAGCATTAAAAAATCTATAAATCTATATTTTTAAAAGAAATGCAAATATATTCTAATCATTAAAATAGAACATAATCTACGAACATAATATAAAAGATGTTTAAACATAATAATAAAACAATTTATTTGTAATTAATTTCTTTATGTACTTTATTAACAGGTAATCAACGTGGTTTTGGCGGCCGTATGGGTAATGGACCGCCACCATTCTTTGGCATGATTCCTGGTGGTGCCAGCATTCGCCGTCCGGAAAGTAATGATGATCGCCATGCCATCGCTCGTCATGCACAAATCTATCCAAAGGAAGAAGAATTGCAGCTTATTCAACGTATTGTTTCCCATACTGAACGTGCATTAAAATATGTTTCTGACAGCCTTGCTGAAAATCCCAACGATAGTGGACCATCATCAGCTAAAAAGGAGAAAAATGATAGCAGTGCAGTTAAGGACGGACGTGACAACCAAATGCTGTCCTTTCAAAAGGAGGCCGACTCTGGAAATGTTCGCATATTAAAGGGAGTTATGCGTGTTGGATTCTTAGCCAAGGGATTACTCTTGCAAGGAGATAATGCCGTCGAATTGGTCGTACTCTGTTCGGAGAAACCTACGGTTGGACTTTTAAAGGGAGTCGCTGCTGAATTGCCAGAAAAACTGAAAGAGGTTGCAGGTAAATTAAAAATTATACATACTAATTCGATTTCAAAAGTAACCCTTTTTAAAAAAATATATCATAATTTTACATGTGCTTAATAAAAATTACAAACAAAAAGGCTAAAGTGGCGCCATTCTTGATAATTCTTTCATAGAATGAACCAAACACGAGCCTTTTTTCTGGGCAACTTTTTCCAAAGAAATAGCTTGAAATGCATGAAATTAAAAAAATATAATAACTATTCCATTTACTTACATATACATACATGCAATCATTTCAATAATGTACTTTTCGAAATGATTCTTATGAACTTGTTTGTTTATTTGTTTTTGTTCGAAACTCAAATCAAAATGAAATCGCTATTATAAGAATTTCTTATAACATTTTCATAGAATAGTGAGTGAGTGATCTTAGAATATACGATGGCAATTTGTATGGAAAAAGTAGTGTAAAAAAGTGAAAATGTGGTGGCATTAACAAAAACAAAACAAAAAAATATTAAAATGCAACGACAAAATAAACAAACAAAAATTTTGTATTTGGTGTTTTCAGCTCTTTTTCACAGGATGATTTCATACTGGCCATGTTGAGATTGCTTCTAAACAACCCACATACCAACCAACTACTATTATCGGTTTAAAATAACACTGTCTCCCATGTACATTCTCTATAAAGGACTTTTAACTGGATAAAGGACTTTTAACGGTAACACAAGTACTCTTCGTGTCTCACAAGTCCGTGGACCGTGTTAAGATAAATAAAACTATCACAAAGGAATATATTTATACAAAGTTTAGGGGGTCTAAATCTCTCGCTATCTCTTTCACTATAACTCAAGGAACTATCGTAACTCCTCCGTTTTATAAATAAATTTGACCAATTCGTTCGACAAACGCGTTCACTGCTACGTCTTTATTTTATTCGTGTTCGTAATGATTTCAATAAAACACTCGTAATAAATGCAATAAAACCGAAAAAAAGTAAATACATGTAATTATCAAAAAACTTTGTGTAAATAAAGTCCTTTGAATATTGATCGATTGATTAATAAATTAATCGTCAATTCTAAAACTGATCACACAAATCAAGCAATGGTTTTCAAAATTAATTCTATATTGCTTTCTACTCTTCTCATACTTTAGCTCAGCTTTCGAGCCAATTCCGATTTGCTTAAAATTTGTGTGATTGATTCATAACTAAAGAAGCAACAATATAATGTCCATTCATTATATTGTTTTATTGCAAAAGAAGAATATGATCGAAAAATCAAATGAAAATTGAGACCGAAATTTTACAATGGCATTCCGATACGGCACACAATATATATTTTTAATATATATTCATTCAATTATTATATTTATTTCTCTCTGAAATGGTTGTCGTGTATAAATTTTTTCATTTTTTTTAAAAGTGTTGCCCAAATGACATAAACAATTTCGGTCAATGTTTTTCACGATGCTCTTAGATGTACATACAATACATATGTAGAAAGAATCATGTAAACAGAGTTGCAAAAAGGGAAATGTAAATTATTATCACTTGGTATTATTTCGATCTAGTTCTAAGATATCTTTATCTAGTTCAAAATTATGGTTAAAGTAAACTAATTCGAATAATTTTTAAACATAAATGAAATGAAGACACTCCCGAAGGTAAAATACTTGCAATCGATATTAATGGTGTAAATACTATAAATTTATTAGAAAGAAAAATATTAAATATCGTTCAAAAAATTTTGATCGACTAAAGTATTAATGCAAAAAAATATTTGCATTTTGGTGGGGAAGCAAACTTTTAATTGTCTCGTAAAATTTATCCAAAATGACCAATTTGAAACTATTTGAAGAATAATTAGATATTTGTTTCTAGTAAACTAGTTAAAAACATCTAAAGAAGTTGACAAAAAACGTAAGAAATTTTCTCAAGGGTACAAAATCATATTTATAGTTTAGCGTAAAGAGTATTTTAAATTAGATGTCCAAATATTTTTTTAGCAGCAAAATTTGGTATTTTGATTGTAAAATCACTTTTTTGCAGCAGAGTTAGTTTCTAAGAGTTGGCATTTTAATCCGCCATCGAAAAAATAGATTTTTTTTAAAAGATTAAACTGTTCGAAAAACTTTTAGTAAGGGACATATTTTTATTACTCAGTTAAAAAAAGAAAATTTTGAGTTATGGCAGTTGTAAATGATGCATATTAAAATATTTCGTTAGCTTTGTCACGGATTTTGAGTTTTAAGCTTGTAATCGATTCAATTTGCTCTGGTTTTATATAGAAATTTTGTATTGAAAATATGCGTAATAAGTATAAAATAGACGATTAATATCTTTATGAATACTGGGATATATCTTCCGCACAAAATCCATTGGAGTTAAATGTCATAATCAGAGCGGTCAATTAGCACATAAATTTATGTGTTTGGGAAATTTAGTTTGCAATAAAATTCATTGTTTCCTGTGACATATGGCACTGTTCTATTGAAACCATATGTTTGTGCTATCCAAATGATCAATTATCAATAAAGGACAACATTTTAATCTTAAAATCTCTTGTTATGAATAAAGGACAACATTTTAATCTTAATATCTCTTGTTAGCACGATGCATTCACACAATTTTAACGGCTCACTACTGCGCTATTTTCGCTTTAAATGCCGGATACTCACACAATGGAAATAAATTTATCAACAAAATTTTGAATGGCGGCCTCAAAATAGATAACATTAATTTTACGAAATCTATTTTTTTACAGATATCCAATTTTTAATATTTTAATGCGATTTTTAAGCAATATTAAATTGATTGTAACAATTGCCAAGTTATTCCTAAATGTCGCTGATTCTAAAAGAAGTTCTGCTTAAAAATCACTTTAGAATCTCCTTGGATTTTTAGACAGGAATCTTTTAGAACTCTTTTAATTCGTTCAATGTATGTTATTCTAAAAAAACTATTAAAAAATTAAAATTTTGTGGTTCTACATTAGTGCAATAGAACAATTTTGTTAGTTCAATAAAACAATTAAATAATTCAAAAATAATTCAAAAAATATTTTTTTAATTTTTTTTAGTATTATTAATAGTGAACTAGTTCTAGAACTATTACTAAGTGTTGTTGTTTATAAAGCTTACCAAATTACATCATTTCTTATCAGGTAAAATTATTGTAATCTATTATTTCAGAATATGACACTCTTTATCGAATGCGTTAATTCGGCTCCTAATTTCGTGATAATTTCGAACAAAAACAAAGAACTGGGGCTGAATAACCTCATAAGTGTTCGAAAAATGTTTCGTATCTAAATTTAGCTAAAATACACTAGATTTCTAGTTCGATTATCTCAAAATGGAAAATTACTATGAATTTTACTCGTTCACGATTGAGATAATTTGGGCCATACATTCAGAATGTTCTATAATATGATTTGGGGAAAAGTTATATCCAGAACCAGTTTTGAAGGTGAAATTTTGGAACAAATAAATATAAATTCTCTTCAAAACCATTATACTTAGTAGTTACACAGTTTGCCAAATTCTTGAAAGGATCCGATAAATTGGTGTGTTTATATTTTTCAATACTTTAGAAATGTTTATTAAAATTGCGCACAAATTCGATAGTTAAATATCAGTAGAAAAATATCTCTAATCTAAATCAATTTATAACCGAATTGGGAAAGTTTTTTGCTCAAATTTTCCGCAAATGTTGTGTGTTTGATAAATTGAATTAGCTGAAATCATGTGTGTTTTTAACTATGTGTTTTATAGACATAAATACATATATGTTTTATTTTTTTGCAACTCTTTTTACAAATATTTACTTAAGATAAAATTGGGTTAAAGGTAACGCAATACATGACATTGAGATTTGAAAAATTATATTATGTAATTCATGTCTACGCATGGAATACTTTTAAAAACTTATCCAAAATATGACAGCGTAACGTGAATTTTTAATATAAATTTCTAAATCTAGCCGTTGCTTTTTTCCACTTTTTTGTAGTTATTTGCTTAGTCTACAGTACAGTTTTTCATACTCAAATGAATGATATATAATTGACAGCTTTTTATTTTTATCAATCAGTTTATGATATTACCTAAGTGTATTATTTTGATTTGATATGATGAATAGAAATTATTGCATTCATGTGGGTATAAGAAGACTGTTTTTTTTTTTTTTTTTTTTTTTTGTTAGCTAATTAATTATGTATTTAACAAGGAATATCTTTATTTAAGAAAATGTAAAATAATACCTATATTTTTGCTTTATTTGATTTGTAGGTGAAAACCCTGTTGATTACAAAGTTGAAGTATTAATAGACGAATCAGCAGTTTTAGTTCAAGATGAGGCAGTATCTGTTAAAATTTCATTGACTTCACCATTATTGCGTGAATCTCCGGATGGTGGAAAAGTTGAGAATACTTCGACAAATAACAGTGGCTCTGGTGATGCAGCTTTATTGCCACGAGAACCATGTCTAAAGGTAAGAGACGACTAAAAATAATTGAAAATTATTATATTTATTCCGACATTTTTGAGGAAATCGTGAGCTCCTTTTTGTAAACTCTGATTTTTAAATTAAATTCAATGTGAAGTTTTAAAGTTTATTACAAAATCAATGAAAGTTTCGAAATATTTTAACACAACTAGATTTTAGCATTCATTATAGGATTTTTACAACATTCTTTATGTTACCTCCTGTTTGAGACATTATTGCCTTTTCTTAAAATCTGGTAGACATATTGTTTTGTGTTTGGAAACTAAAAAGATGTTTACGTTCTGTCTCCAAAATTGTAATTTCCAAACTTCATGAGACCATACCACGACTATTGGATCTCTGCTCTGGGACGACCCGAATTATACACGGCCAAAAATGTAAACTTTTTTATTTATTTTTGTAAACAAACCTAATTATTGTGGCAGTTTGTTTCCTTGATATTGTATACTAGACGTTTTTTTAATGGTAAATCTTGCACATACAGTATTGTTCGAAACCTAAGCAACTTTTTTTGGCATTGTATACAAAGTGCTATATTTTCTATTTTAATTGATATATAATAACAACAACAAAAGTTTAATTCCATTTGGCTGTGAATTACAAGAAAATAATAACTGAATTAACTCCATAAATAGCTGTTCGAAACTTAAGCAACTTTTTGATCTTCTTATGAAACTCTTTGGTCCTTTTGAGTTCCAAACACCTTTATGGAATATATTAGTTACTAGTGTAATTCGAAATGAATCCCAAGCGGATTTTAAGCCATTCGCAAGCTGCAATGTTTTCTAAAACTGCGAGTTTCGACCCAGCGCTTGAGAATGCCGAACAGCATCTCTAAGGGACTTGAGTCCGGAGATTTTGATGGACAATCAAATAATTTGGGCCTCATTACTCGATAACTACTCTTAGATCAACTTTGCCAAAGGTTTTGGTTAATTATCATGCTGAAAATCGCAATAAAGTAAGTTGTTCTGTTCAATGTACTTAATCATATGGTTCATTTTATTGGCCAAAAATGTCCCAGAAAGTAAAACAATCCAATTTCATTTGTATTTCAACATCAGGACTTACTCTACTCACCAAAAATCTTGCCCACAACCTTAATTGTTTGACCTCCATGTTTTTTTAAGCCTTTAATGTACGATCATATAACCGCATATGAATCCCGCAGTGACATGGCACAGATTTTCTTAAAGAAATTCGATTTTTTCACAAATTTTGTACAGTTTTGGGTAGAATATTGAAATAGATTACGCAAGACTAATAAAAAACAGTTTTATTTATAAACAGGCCCACATTTTCCTTCTTAAATTCAGACAGAGTATGTGAGGCTCAAAGGCTGAAGGAAATATTATAACATATCCTTTTAGAGAAGGCCCAATAATGAATGGAGAGCAAAAGTTTAAGGGTGTGGCCATGCTTTTTGAAGAGAAGGGTTAGTCCTGATGTTGAAACACAAACAGAGTTGGATTGTTTTTCTTCTTGGGACGTTTTTCGCCAACAATATGAATTGTATGATTGAGAACAACGGACAGAACAACTTACTTTATTGCGATTTTCAGCATGATAGTGAAAAAACCTTTGGCAAAGTTGATCTAAGAGTAGTTATCGAGTAATGGGACCCAAATTATTTGATTGTCCATCAACATCTCCGGACTCAAGTCCCTTAGAGATGCTGTTCGGCATTCTGAAGCGCTGGGTCGAAACTCACAGTTTTAAAAAACATTGCAGCTTAAAATCCGCTTGGGATTCATTACGAACTACACTAGTAACTAATCTATTCCATAAAGGTATTTGGAACTCAAAAGGACCAAAGATTTTCATAAGAAGATCAAAAAGTTAATTCAGTTATTATTTTCTTGTAACTCACGGCGAAATGGAAATAAACTTTTTTTGTTGTTATTATAATGTAGACACATAATGTTATTATTATCAATTATATAATTTTGAATAAATCAATTAAAATAGAAAATATAGCACTTTGTATACAATGCCAAAAAAAGTTGCTTAGGTTTCGAATAATACTGTATATTTAAAATAAATACATTCTGTTGTTGTGTTGATGTAAATAGTATTATAATAAACCTACCATTATTACCAAACCAACAAGGACACTATCCTGAGTAAAATCCTTCAATAGCGGTTGAATATGAACGTTAAATTGCTTCTTCTTTTTGTTACGATTCCATGTCATGTTGGAATACCTTTTTTCGATCAAAATTTTACTCTGATAAGCAAGGTAAAGATACAGAAATAGCGAAACAGAATCCAAATCTGTAGAAGTAGTTACAGATTTGTGTTTACCGTAGAAGGTTCCTTAATAACCAACTTATTCCCCTGTACATCTCAATTCATAATTAGCAACATTCGAAAAGTTCATCTACGAATCTAGTATGTACCTAACCTGAGACTGTAGTCTCGGACTTCTGTATATATGCCCCTATTATGGTTTACAATTCAACTCTTCTTTAGTTGAAATTTTGCTGTTTTGTATTATCGATAACAACTTAGAATTTCAAGTTGAAATTTATTACAACTTTTTTGAAAAAATTACAACTTATTAAAAGTTACAACTCAATTGTTTAGAATAAATTTTTTAAATAAAACAAAGTAAAGTTTTTCTTTAAATTTCCTATGGTGGGAACATTTTTACATTTTGCTGTGCCAAACGATATCTTTTTTGATTACATTAAATTTTTACAATTGCCACTAATTTCACAAGAAAATCTGCATTTATTTTAATAAATGAAACACTTTTATTGATTTATTTATTATTAAAATAAATTTGTACAATCACAAATGTATTATAAACTAAAATTATAAAATATCTTATTTTTTGTATTTTCAAATTTTTCTTTTCATTTGTCAAAAATTTATATTGCCCCATGAGCTAGTAAAATTTTATTCACCTCATATCTATCAAAAATTTACATTTTCAAGTAAATTGTTACCGATTGGCACACACTCATAATACTAAAAAAAAAAGTCAACTGAGTTGAGTTGCAAACCATAATAGGGGCAATAATGTACTATACTGCTTCCAGCTCATCTACATCCCCACACATTCTACAGAATTCCTGTGTGCTCACTTTAGCGGTCTAACGCAATGTTAGAATGTATTACATAACATATTAGAGCCATAATCAAAGAATATAAAGAAATTGGGGCTTGTCAGTTGGTACGTAAAGGAGTTGTCATTCGGTACCTAACTCTAAGTATGTATTGGTAGAATTTTTGTATTAGTATTGGAGCTCCAACCACTTTCACCACACTTTCCAAACATACATACTTGCATAAAATCGTACATAAAAATTTTTGGAAAAATAAATAACATTTAAATTTCTACATTCGCAGATTTTTTAATTTATTTTGCCCACATCTAATAAGTAAACATTTAATAAATATATTTTCGGACTTAAAATCTCTTTTTTTGCAAAAAAAATAAGTTTATTTTAAATAATTCTTTCATTTTCAATACCAAAATATACAACTTTGTTTTGTCAATTTTAATTTCAACACACAAAAATTAATTGTCAAAAAAATTAAAAAAATATTTTTTTAGTTTGTGAAAAATAAAAATATTTGGGATTGTTAAATGCGATAAAATTGTGTAAAAAATTAATAAATAGTTATGTGTTTGTGAAAAAACGTCGTTCAAGTACTAATATCCCGGTATTTTCGCGAAAAAGTTTTGAAGTATTGTGAGAGAATTGAGTTCTCACAAGTGTGTTGAATTTACACGGAACTCGTCTGTGAAGAGAAGGAAATGTTATTGTTGTAAAACAATGTCATAGTCCAACTTCTTATTATTCTTTGGCCATAATTATCAAAATATAATGTCACTGTCGGGGAAATGTTATGTTACCAATAAGACCTACTTCATACAATATTTTAGGTGAACATCTGTTAACTCGTCTTCTGACCTATTTGTCCCCTAAGGTTGAGTTGATAATCCTACTATAAAATACTGAAACGACAACAGGATATCGTTAGGGCAACGAATCTCTAATAGCCTCTGTCTTAATGTTTTTAAAGGCTCCTTCTATATCCCAAAACGTAGCTATCTATAGTGTATTCCTTAAACTTTAAACATTGCTCTTTACAACCACCACTTAATTCTTAATATTAAACATTGACCGGTTTTTTAAACAAAACATCTTTTAATTTTTAACAGGCACTTGCTGAACTTCGTCATGCCAAATGGTTCCAAGCTAGAGCAACCGGTTTACAATCATGCGTAATGGTTATACGCATTTTACGTGATCTCTGTCAACGTATACAATCATGGCAGGCATTGCCGCAGTGGTCAATGGAATTATTGGTTGAGAAAGTCATTTCATCAGCAGGTTTTCCCATTTCACCTGGTGATTGTTTGCGTCGCATAATGGAAGCCTTAGCTTCAGGTTTCCTTATCAACGGTCCTGGTCTCTTGGATCCATGCGAAAAGGAGCCACAAGACGCTCTTCACGATTTGTCTAAACAGCAACGAGAAGACTTGACCGTTTCAGCACAACTATTCTTGCGTTACATGGCTTTCAGACAAATCTATAAAGTTCTTGGTATGGATCAATTACCAGCTCCAAAATTTCCATCACGTCCATGGCGTATAAATCGCAAACGTCGTCGTTCTCAGGGCAAAGACAATACAGATGGCGGCGATGGAGGCAATAATGCAGATGCTGAAGAATGTGCATCAGATGAAAAGATTCCTAAGAAAGATGGAAACGATGCAGCTGCCTAAGCGTTTAAATAAATATATAATACGTTACCAATAATAATATTAAAACAAATATTTATCTACACATAATAATTTATAATAATGCGTTATAATTAGAGTTTCCCGAAAGGAAAGAAAATATGAAAGGAAGCAGAGCAGATATGTTAACATTTTGGTATCCGGACTACAATAATTGTGCGGAACGATTTGTTTTAATTTTCAGTTTTGAACCATCAGTAATAATAGATCTTTTTTTAGATACACACATAAAATATGTATGCATACATCATTATATTTAAACAATAATGTTTATTCCGTATTACCATGTATTGATACATCTATTGATCAACATGATCATTATAATAAAATATTATTAACTTATGTATGTATGAACAAAACATACTAATTTATATGTATGTTTGTATGTAGTATGTTGATACTGAAGACAACAAAACCAACATTAAAATATAATCTCTTGAATTTTAAATAAAATAAACTCAATCAGAATTAAAATCAACGGAAGAATTCTATTTTATTTACTTAAAAATTTTAAACTGTATAAAATCATTAACCATTCCTGTTTAAAAATGTAAGCAATGACAGGAAATCGGGCTTGAGAAATCGTCCTAAAGACAAAAAACTTATCCACTGACATCCTACAATAAATAAATAAATAAAAATGGGATTTTTTACCTTTCGATGAGAGCACGACAAGGGGTACAATAATACAAGGGCTTGTTCGAGAATGCATCACTGCGCTGCACAGTACCGTCTGAAATACATCACAGAAATTTTGATGAGCAAAACTCTCATACTAAAAATGGCTGATGTAATTGTTGCATCTGATGCGCAGTGCGTTCAGATGGGCATTATAAATGCGTAAACGTATAATGCCCAACTACAAAAATAAATAAACGTCAAACACACATCACAAAAAGCTGATGCGGTGAATGGAATATATTAATTTTTAATTGGGTTCTCACCTTCGTCAGAATGGTATACATTAGGATTATAATTATTTTTGGGTGGCAAAATACCACAGCACTACCTTGTAGCTAATACTGTCCTGATAACAAAAGGCTATTTTTAAATCAATTTGCACCGCACCGAAAGAAATTTCTAAAATGCTTTAGTACGTGATTTTTACTAAAATTATTTTAATAATTTTCATATTTTAGATTTCTTAGAAATTACATTCCAGGAATTTAAATAACAATATCCTCTTTAAGAGAATGTAATATAAATGCAAAAATGTTAGCAAAAATATTTATTTTTCTCATTTAAATAATTAATATTTACACAAAACTTCATCGTCGCCTTTGGTGCGGGAACTTTTCGCGTTTACGTCCTATAAGACTTTGCTATGGTATTTTTGATATATGTACGCAAAAATTGCAAAAAGTAATAACCAGGGCAAGGATTAGTATGCAAATGCATGTTTGTATTAAGTTACTCAAAATATCTTTTAACTAGTTTTCTTTTCGAATCAAAGAATTTTCAACAAAATGGCATCGATTTGTTGTTGTTGCATATTTTGTTATAAATGCATAAATTGCATATTTTGCTTTAAATTGCATATATTTTGCATATTTATAACATTTTATAGCATATTTTGCATATTTTTTAATTTTTTCGAACACAGATTGTGTTTTTTTACGTACATATTTTTACAAATAAAAAAAAAATAAATTTAAAAGAATTAAATAGGGTGTTGCGAATGCCAGTAAAACGAAAGCGAATAATAAATTTTATTTTTTGCGAATGCAAAAGCGGATGCAAATAGTATAATTCAAGTTAATTTGCAAAGAAAATTATAAATTATGAAATTACATAATATATTTTGATGAAAAATTGAGTTGTATCAAAATTTTTACTTCATAATTGGTACCAGTCGTGTATATTTCTTTTTCCCTCTGCGTATGGCCTACTATCCAATAGTACTAACCTTGGTGCAAATTTCACCCAAATCGATTTTTTGAGTTGGGTCACTTGACACGAAATTGCCCATATTATTTAAAAGTGTTCCTTAGTCTTTATAATTACTGTCATTCTCGAGATCGTGATTCTGTTAAATTGGTATTACAGTACATAAAGCGATATTTCCCCTGTAGGAAATGTCAATATTAAAAATGTGCTTAATCGCTATTGACTTTGTCAGTACTACTAGTGTCGAATTATACCCCATACAAGGCTTAGTGCTATTGACATTTAACATGTGCGTGTCATTGAAAATCCTCTAGTAACATTATGACTATTGACTCGGTATTGACTAGGTACTTCTCATGGATCCATATGGTGACATTAGAACCAGGAATTTACTAGTACATTTCTATATCGCGAGTCCATTCAGTTTTAATACAGACATTTTCTTAAGGAATATTGACATCCCTGCAGTCAGACTGGGTCCATATATCTTTTTGTCAACAGTACTAGTTCAAATGTCTCCAATCTTTCATTTCTGTGTCAATATAAAAAATACAGAGACCAAAGATGTGGTGTATATCTAGTGGCATTGTCAACAAACATGTCAATATTCCTTAAGAAAATGTCTGTATTAAAACTGAATGGACTCGCGATATAGAAATGTACTAGTAAATTCCTGGTTCTAATGTCACCATATGGATCCATGAGAAGTACCTAGTCAATACCGAGTCAATAGTCATAATGTTACTAGAGGATTTTCAATGACACGCACATGTTAAATGTCAATAGCACTAAGCCTTGTATAGGGTATAATTCGACACTAGTACTACTGACAAAGTCAATAGCGATTAAGCACATTTTTAATATTGACATTTCCTACAGGGTTGTTTCATTTAGCGTTTTTTTTTTTTTTTTGTTTGTTCGCTATTGCTTAAGTAATGGGAATAATTAAATGAATCGAAATTCTATAAATTACTTGTTTTTGTATTTTTTATCAGGTGTAGCCAGTTTACCTTAAAGTCTACAACGTTGATGCAATATTGTGAAAGATTATCTATTATCTTTTAATATTAGTTTTTCTATTTTATTAATTTTATACATAATTATCCCACTTCGATTTCTTTGCATTTTGGACTGTTTCAGAACGAGATGTCCATTTTTTGGATTGCGAGAAGTCGAACATTACATTATTTTCATTACTAGATGTAGATGAAAAGTCCTCTTTTGATAAGCTGTGTTTTTCATTATTGGCAAAACAATTGCTTGTATGACACAAGTTAACATCATTATCATTTTCTGCTTCCAGCACCTCCATATTGCTGTTGACTGCTTGATCACGTTTCTGTTTCTCGGCCTTAATAATACCGCGACAATATTTTTTGGTTTCACCGCTAGTTTTATGTGAAATGTCATTTGTTGATAATTTTTGATCTTGATCAATAGCAGCGTTATTGTATGTGCCATCGAGAACATCTTCATTTTTTAACAAACTGCCATCAGTTGCTGCTTCCAATACCTCCAAAATACTGTTAACTGATTCATTGTATTTTTGACCTTTTGTCATATTTAATTGCTGCACCTTAGTACGACATTCCTTTGCAGTACCTCGAAAACATTCCTTTCTAACTGTTTGCTTTATGTTGCAAACTCGACATTGCCACTTTGAGGTTTTTTTAACAATGTCAACCTAAAAAAAATTGTTTATAATTTAATTATCGATAATTGATATTTATACATTTTACCTGGAATATCTTGCAACTAAAACACTGCAAAACACGAACTTCCTGTGGCATTTTTAAATAGAGATTTGTTCTGTTGTGATCAGGCGCCAAATTAAAATAAAGTCGCAATTTACACGAAGACTTTTTAGACGTCCATTTTTTCCAATATGTTTTCAATAATTACATGTTATAGTATTTTTTAATGCTAAAGTTTTCGTTTCGGCGACTGACACCAAATATGTCGGCGGCGGCTTAAAATCGACTGTAAGCCGGCTAAGTTTTCAACTACGTTTAGTTTTTTAATTTTCTGCAATTTTAAATATAAACGGAATTCGAGAGATCAGAAAGTGGGATTTTGGAAGCAAATATATTGTTTATAACAAAGAATAAATAAGAAATGAAACTGTTGTCAAAAGTACCTAAGTCTACTGTCATCCGGTACCTAACTCTAAGAATGTAGGGTAAATGCACCTAATGTCGGCATCACCCAGTAGTCGGCATCTTTTACATAAAAATGTAAATAAATAAGAAAAGCTGTACAAATTTATTAAGGTTTGATCTATATTTCATAGAAAATATGGTCTTTTTGCTTTATGAAATGAGTAAATTTAAGTAGGATTACTAATTTCCTCTATATTTGACGTTATTTAGTGACAGCTTAGCAGCATTTGTAGTACTGTCAGTTTTCTTAAAAAAAAATTAGTTTTAGTGCCACCTTAAACAAGTGAATATTTATATGAAATTAAATGATTTATTTGACAAAAATTGATTTAAATGAAAGAAAACAGTTGAAATATTCAATTTAAAGTGAAAAAGTTAGTTAAAAATATATTTTTTTGTAATTTTAATCGCTGCCGCCATTAGGAACACAATTTTTTATGAATTCTTATTGTCGGCATAGGGGTGCCGACTACTGGGTATTAAGTTCGATCATACGTATTCTATAGTCGGCACTCTAAAATTTATTATTTCTCTATAGAAAAATTGGGTATATTACTATGAAAAATTTCTATATAAAATTTTCTCTTCAAAAATTATACGTATAACAGTTATTTTTGTAAAATTTATTTATTATTTATGTATAACTCTTTTCTCTATAAAAATTTATGTATATTACAATTTCCTCTATAGAAAATTGATTGTACAACATTTGTTTCTATAGAGAATTATATGTATACAATTTTTTTCTATAGAAAATTGTATGTATAACAATCTTTGATACAAAAAATTATGAGTATATCAGTTTTCTCTATGAAAAATTGTGTGTATACCCTTTTTTTCTATAGAAAATTACTTCTATAATAGCTTTTCCTATTTATTTACATTTTTATTTAAAAGATGCCGACTACTGGGTGATTCTGACATTAGGTGCATTTACCCTACCTATTTGGCAAATCATATGTCGTAAAAAAGCAAATTTCGGAAGTGGTTATATACATATGTATATGGACTTTGATAATTAGATTAATAAGAACGTCAGCGTGATTTTCGGAATAGGGACTTAAATGTGGGATTGGGTTAATTTTGGACCAAGTTCTCCATAATTTAAAGTATTTTTATAATTCTACCATAATTCTATCATAGTGATAACTTTTGGAATGATGTATTAACTATAAATTGATTTTCTGGAAGAGGTTCGTTCGGTTCCTAAAAAAGTTTTTTTTTTCGAATTCCATTATTACATCTACATTTGAAAGCCATTTTTGTGCGGTTTAGTAATTTTCTGAAGAACATCTCATATGGGTTTAGGGTGAATTATGCTTCGATTGTCATAAATTTTGGTAGACATATTTTCGTTTCAACAAAACTTATTTTATTATCGTATTATTAAGTCCGTAAAAAACATTAAAATCAATTATTGAAGGTGACCTTATATGGGGGGCAGGGTCTATTATGGCATATAGAGATTTCGATTAATATAAAACTCGATCATATTATATTTCATTGCTACACTGGCATTTTTATGTTAGTTATGCACGTTAGTCATTTTCTGTAGGCGACCTTACAACAAACCTGCAAACAAAGCAACTGTAATGGGCGTTACAGCAGTATTACATTGTACACCATTACAATTGGAACTACTTATTTGTTTCTTTTCTAGGTTGAACCAAAATTCAACGAACTCATCATAGTCCAAATTCAATTTGGATGTAAAACCATTTCTTTTCTGCAGGGTGATTTATCGTGCCATCATAAGCGCACGAAATTTTTTAACAAATTGTCGCATTATTGTTGTCTTGTGCAGGCCTTTAATGTACATACATACATACATATATTAGGATACATCCCATCAACAAGGGCGGCTTTAATGATAGTCCAAAAACTTGAGATTTATATAATGCATACTAAGATGATTTTTGCTATTAATTGCGATTGTGATGAACCAATTGTGTTCGCATATTGCAGACCTGTTCCAACAGGCCATTCGAAATGATATTCATTCAAATCCAAACAAATTTCCTCATTTCTTCTAATACATGCATACATATATTAGGATACATCCCATCAACAAGGGCGGCTTTAATGATAGTCCAAAAATTTTAGATTTATATAATGCATACTAAGATGATTTTTGCTATTAATTGCGATTGTGATGAACCAATTGTGTTCGCATATTGCAGACCTGTTCCAACAGGCCATTCGAAATGATATTCATTCAAATCCAAACAACTTTCCTCATTTCTTCTAATTGATTATTATGAGCTTATGTAGTGTAGCTTAATATATAAATATGATGTGCAATTTTTATTAAAATTAACTTTATTTTACTAAAAAAACGTTAGTGCTTTTCCCCCCTTTTTATTTTTTCGCGCGCGTTTTGCTTGACCAATGTTGGCAACACTGGTGAAATACAGTGATGACAGAGGCCCAAGTCACAACTTAATTTTCAACGGCGTCCATTTATTAAAAAGCACAAACTCTCCAAAGAAAAGCTACCAGACTTAAATATTGCAATTTTTGTATTTTACATACGAGTACTATATTTTTCAACTGTGAAAATGACATTTTGTTAAAAGTCATAATTTGTTCTTGTAATAACATAATATAATAATTATTTCTCGTTGTTCTATTCTAATTTGTGTGGTGCAAAAATTTTAAAAATAAAAAGGAATAATTTTATACAATTTTCCATAAAAAATCGAATTGTGATTTTAATTGTTTTAATTAATAATTGATTCAATAAGAAATTACTCTAGTCTAGTTGGATTTTCCATCCAATTCTGCTTAAGAATTCTAAGTGTTTTTATTCATTTTTTTTATCTTGTGACAGCGTCTACGTTGACGTTGGTAATACGGTTATAGCGGCTGTGAAGGAGCCGCAAAGACATTGCAAAACTGGAGGTGGATCAGCAAAATCATCCGTCTTTTCGAAAATTAACAAATATCACTAATCTTTCCATTGCTGATGAGGAATTTATTAACAATGTTAACTGTGATATTGAACATTTCCTAAAGCAGCGCCACAATAACGGGTAAGAGAATAATAATTATTGTACATATACAGGCACATTCATCCAAACATTCATATACACATAAAATATCTACACATAAATTAAATGCCATACATACCAAAAGAACGATATGTATATTAATTAACGTGTGTAGTCTACATGTATGTACAATATGTACATATATTAATACATATGTATATACACGCATATATAAATATGTATGTATATAATGTATGTATATGTTTGGAATCTTATCGTTTCTCTGTGTATTTTGCTTTTGCATTTCTAATGGATCTTGAGTTGTTTTGTCTAATTGTATTCTAAACAGATAGTATTGCTTCATGCAAATAATTGGAATTTTACTAATTAGAACTGAAGTTGGGAAATGAAATATTGCTTTTAGTCGGGTATTAAATACAAATCTATTACAAAAGATTGCAATAAATTAAAAAGTTATTGTTTATTATTTTTAATACGTTCATTGACCTTTAGAGTTACGTTATAATATCATATGTTGAATGACAGTAGAAAATTTATACATATACATTAGGATGGCATATGTTTTATGACTCAATTTTATTTCTCTTTTATAATAAAAGTTTACACTCTCAGTTCTATTGTATATGGTAAGCAACCAAACGAAGAAACAATGAATATCAGATAAATCTTTTTTGAGAGATAATTTACAAAAATCTGTCGATAGTAAAATATGTGTGTTAGGATTTAAGTTAAAAAGCTAAAAAAGCCGCTTTTTACTACTTTATCATTAGCACTTTGCCTCATTATTTTAACACGGTGAAGACGTTGGAGGCAAGTACTTACCACGTTCGCTTACAAATCAATACTTAAATAAGTATGTACTTACAAATAGGGAGTTAAAAAATAAAATAATAAAATCGCTTACACAGAATACCAAACTGGGCTTTTTGTTCGTTAGTTCGCTGTTTTACTTACAACGCCATATTAGGTTTTCCCGATTTTTGATAGGGTCCTTAGTTCCTCACCAGCGGTTGAAAATCCTATTCTCAATACAAATTGTCAATAAAAGTTTCTTCAATATTTTCAAAATTGGCCTTAAGAACTTCTTAATTATGAGTTTCTTATAGATAACGGAGACTTATCTTATTCTGTATGTTATTGAAATTCGATTTTAGAAGACCAGAATCTTCAATTTTTCGAAGTTTGCACATTTATTATATGTAATCGTTTTAACTTAAACTAGGATTTTTTGATTATGTTGGAGGGCCAAACAGAAGTCATTTGCATTAGTGTTGTGGATCAAAGATTTAGGTCAACATAGGGCAGCAAAGCAAACTTAAAAACTAAACAAGCAACCTTGCCCTCTCTGATTTTGATGAAACTCGGTCATACATCTATCTATCTATATATAAAAATAAATGTGTGTTTGTTTGTATGTTTGTTTGAAGTGTATAGCCGCTTAAACGGCTAAATCGAATTACTAGAAATTTTCATAGTGTGTTCCTGTAGTGGGCGAATTGTCACGCCCACTTACTAAATAACTATTAAAAGTAGTTTTTCTCAAATGACCTAAATTTGGAAAACTATAACAGCTACAGTTTCCAAATTTTGTACGATAAACTTTAGTGTCAATGTGAAAATTTTGTGCAATAATGTGCGGACAAGAATTAGTGGGCGTGTCATCCCCCATATAAACTTAAAATGTTTTTCAATTTAAGCCAATATAATATTTTACAAAATCAAATAGTTATAAGTTTATTAAAAGTTAATTCTTGAATGAAGAAA